ACGAAATTTTTCTACGGAAAACAGCAATCCAAGCAAGGCCACTTTTGCTAGAATGCTGGATTCTTTATTCCTTTGATCTGTTTTAACCATTGTGGTTTTCTAATAGCCCTTACGTTGCATGGTACAGATGCACTATCTTCTAGAAACCACTGTCAATTTACGTGTTTCACAGCAGTTGGACAGCCAATTGCTCTCACTCGCAAGTAGGCTGAGCTAGTGCTCCTAATAAATTAAATAATCCTCATCTAATCATCTTCTAAGGTATCAGAAGTTGTTAGACGCCTAGCCAAAAAAACGTACGAGCCAATTATTATTGCGAAGCACGAAATGTACTCTTCTTTTACATAAACAAGTTAAGAAAAATTGATTATGAGCATGCTCTGTACTATGGTTTGAATTGCTATTTTTACGAATATTTGTAAAAAAAAATATTATAACGATTTGATATATATGAGATAAAAATAATTAAAAATATATATTAACAAAAAAAGCTAAATTTTTTTTTTTTTAACAAAAATCACAGCCAAATAGCGAAAAATAATCATTCTTGAGTTATGAGTTGCCTCGATGCATTATTATCATAGCATAGCCAATTATTTCTCCCCACCAATAAAGCCAAACCTGATCTGGCCACAAAAATCACATCTCAGATTTGACACAACCAAACACACTCGTGTAGAGATTTAGTAGATAATAAAAAGTTTCATTTGTGTTTGTGGCAGCAAAATAGAAAGCATGCATAGTCAAATTGATCAGTTGGAAGATGGAAGGGGGCCAGCTCCATTGAGGTTCGCTAGTTGTAGAGGGGGTTGGTCTTAGAAGTTACAACTTTGTCGGCCACCATAATGTCTTTGCTCGATAAAAGCCAATTCTCATGCATTCCCTCCTCCTTCTTCCGACGAAGACTGGTAATAACTGAGAACCAAATCATCCCTCTTTTAGTCATGTCAATTCTTGTTCAGGACTTTCGATAATAACCAAAGACAAGATGAGACACGTATACTGTTTGTTCTTTAATTAATTTCCCATCAACGTAATTAAGGTCATAGGTATGAGTTGTAAAGTTTTTTTTTTTATTAAAAAATTGGCTTAATTTCTTTTAGTCAAATTTCTTATTTTGTGTGGAAGTAACTAATTTCCTAATTGTTTAGTTACTTGGAGTAGATAATAAAGTTTCATTCTAATATTATTTGATTTTTGGCCAAATGATGTTCTATAAATAGGTATATTAGCATTTTACAAGAGAGAGAGTTCTTAATAGGTGAAAAGATTATACGAGAGTTGGATTTGATAATCAAGTTGTAATTTTATAGTATTTTCTTTTTCATAATAAGAACATATGTTTCTCTCCGTAGATGTAGGTTTGATGATTAAGTCGAACCATATTAGTTCTTGTCCGTTACTCATCGTTTGTGCTAGTTATTATTTTTTGTTAAATTGTTGATTTTCTCCATTTCTATCTGAAATAATCTGCCTGATACTACTATTTTTTGATACTATTTTTTGGTATAGTGTCGTACCACCTATATGAAATGCTACATTACGTGAAACTCATGGTCGCCATCGCATTTTGAATGTCTTACCAATGTGTCTGTAATATAATGAACATCTATACTTAGACACGGATTCCACATGCATATGAATTTTGAAGCTGAAGCAAAATTTGAACTCGATCTACATCTAATTATATAATATAAATATATATATATATTGATGAAGCATGTTGAAAATATTTACAAGTAGCAAATTTAAAATGTCGAAGATCGAGATCTTGATTTAATCTTTTTTTGTTTGCTGGTACGAAATCTAATGACTTTATTCGTTTGGATTGTTATTTTTAGAAGTTTTTTTATAAAAAAATATACTGTAACAATTTGATATATATGAATTTAAAAAAATGATTAAAAAATATGTTTACGATAAAAGTAAACATTTTTCTGCAAAAATCACAATCCAATTTGTTTGAAAAGTAAGAAAAAAAAATGAGAGCCTAATTTGTTTGACTAATGACGGATAATGATGCTAAAAAGGATTTCATGAAACAAAAGTATGCATTAATCAAAAACAAAAAAAAAGAAAGAAAGAAAGGAACAAAATTCAAAATTTGAGCCCCTTTAATAAGCAATCAATACTACAGTACCCTATGCAGTAATAGTTGTACAGATTAAATACAAATTTGTTAACATGAACATTAAATCTACACATTAAACAAGCTAACTAAGCTGAGGATTTGAGATTGAAAAGGGCAAAAAAAAAAAAAAAAGGAACTTCCTTTCCACCAATGATGTCATTCACTTGCAACTGGGATTAATTAGCTGTTTACTTATGTGGTTGTAATAGTTAATAGGATATTTTTGTTTCTACCAAAAGAAAAAAAAAAAAAAAACTGTATACTTATGTCGTTTTATGACTTTTGCTTGGCATGCCATGCACTTTGTTGATTTTTTATATTATCCACTGGACGCCACTAACAATAAGATGATCAAACGTAGTGAAGACTTTGAAGTCTACAAAAGCAATTTAACTCAGCACAACATGACAACTGATTCTCAAGTTTTGCACAAATTTTCCCTCAAATTTATTATTTCCACAATGACCAAACACAAGTTTGCTGCCCAGTCCTTTGACAGTTTCTGTGGCACTTTTTCTTTTTTTTTCCCCCCCTTTATTCACAATTACATGTACAATTCATATCTTCACAATGTTTACCTTAGACCCAAAAAAAAACACACACACACACACACTATAATCCTGATAATGGAAACGAGAAATAGAAAATAAGAGGAACGAAAGGGAGGGGGAAAATATTGTGAGCGCTCCTAAAAGAAGGGAAAATTAGTAATAAACTTATTATGATTTTGCATATTGCCACATGACTTCACTAATGTTTAATTATATTTGTATATCTCCTTATAATTTTATGTAAAATGAAAAATGGATTGAAAGAATCTTCAATTTCGACAATTAGTACTCCAAAAGTAGGGATGGCAATAGATATGGTAAAATTTGACACTCGTAGGCATTCAATCCAATGGTTAATTCGATTAAACGACCCATGAGTTATTCATTAAGGTTTGGTATTGATAAGGAGTAATCGATGGATAATTCGATAAGATTTGACAGAAGGACGCTAAAAACCCAATATCCAATACTCGATATTTATATATATATATAATAAACTTTAAAACTTAAGTAAGTGATAAAAAATACGAAATCACGACTTTGTCAAGTTGATCCAATAATAAAAATTAACAGATAAACATTATCAGAAATTAAAGTGGAGGATTTAAATTAGCCCAATAATAAATGTTAAAGAATAACGTTGTCCAAAAATAAAAATCGCAAATCCAAAAGTGATTCACTAAAAACTTTTTAAGTACTATTCGAGCCAGTTGTCCATATTGAATTTTATAATGTCTTCATAAACTTATATAGTATCCATGTATGTTGACTTAAAAATAAAAAAACATTTTCCCTTCTTCTAAAATAAAAGAGCTTGCCTAAATAATGATTTTGATGAACTCATTAATTACGATTTAGATGTTAATATTTTGAAAATTGGTTAAACATTTTCTTTTTTAAAAGACTACACATTTTAGATTTAAAAGGTGAGCAAATATTTATGACAAATCACAAGAGTTTACCATTAACAAGTGTCCTCAAACCATTGGCAAAGAAATGAAGAAGTGGGAAGTTGGGCGTTGGAATCTATACATTTTTTTTTGTGCTTTGAGCATCCGATATTTTCACTCTTAATGAGACTAATCCGAATTCGACTCGGAGAGTACTCATAGAGTCTGACTCTTACTTGGGTGAAGGCCTAACTCAGAACTTTTTAAGATGCCATATGCATGGAAAACAAGGCGAAGAAATGAAATATAACATATAGAAATAGTTAGCCGTCGCCTTTCTCACTTGAGACACTGTTGAGTTTAGTGTGGCGACAGTTGACTGGTGACTGGAAATCAATTGGTACCACTATTATTCCATTCCCATCAACAAACCCCACTAATTTTCTCGGGATAATTTCAGAAATTTCCCCTAAGGTTTTTGACTATTTCACTAACTTTCATCCAAATTTTAAAAATTATACTAATCTCCCTTAAGGTTTAACATGTAGGTCCAATCAACAATTAAAAAGTGATATTATGAGAGAGAAAATAATATGATTCCACCATTGCCCATTATCTACTAAATTATTTAATTAATTTAATACCCACCTATATATTAAAGAAAATACTAGAATTTGTTGTTTATCATTAGGAATTAAATCACATATGGTATCAAATATAGCATATCATTCTATACATTTGATTTAATGTAAGATCTAAATTGCATTATTCAGTGGCAAATTCACCATTAAACATGATTAACAACAAATAATAAAAAAAATCTGTAATCAAAATATTACAAAGAGTGAACTTTAATTCCATAAAATTCTCAACAACTAATTTTAATATGTTGATAAGTATATTTATGATGTTAAAGTTTATTCTTTGTGATATTTTGATTGCAAATTTCTTAATTATTTATTGCAGATCATGTTTGACAATGGGTATATAATTGAAAAGAGTAATTGGATATTGTATTAAGTAAAAAATATAACATGATATATTATTTTTTGATACTGTATATGATTTGATCTCTAATGACAACAACAAATTTTAGTGCTTTTTTTAATGTATGGATTGGTATTAAATTAATTAAATAATGTTGTAGATGAGGGGTAGTGATGAAATTATAATATATTTTCTCTCCTAATATTACTTTTAATTATCAATTGGGTCTAAATGTTATAAGATAATTAACTTTAGAGGAGATTAGTGTAATTTTTGATACCTGGGGGAGGTCAGTGAAATAGTCAAAAAATTCAGGGGAGGTTTCTGAAATCATCCCAATTTTCTCTTCACCTCGCTTTCACTTCACTATAATACCTTTTTTCAACCACTTCTACCACTCTGCCACTACAAAACCCATTTCCTTTCTTTTCTTTCTCCGCTTTTTCTCTCTTTGTCTACTTTATCAAACCTAATCTTCTTTCTTTCTTGCTCCTACTTTTCTTTTTGTTAATATATTTTTAGCGAAGGGATTTTGTAAATTGATTAATTTAAACAAGTTTCGGTGATTTTGATGATCAATGTGGTCTGGTTGAGAGAATTGATAAAGAGGAAATGGTGGGAAGCTAGGGAAGGAGGAGCAAGGAAAATTTTGAAATTTTGAACAGTTCAAAATTTAGTACTAGAATTTTTTAGAAAATAAAAGAAAAAGGACAAGAAAATGGTGGTGAGGAAAGTAGGCAAGTATGAGATAGGAAGAACAATAGGAGAAGGAACATTTGCTAAAGTTAAATTTGCCCAAAATACAGAGACAGGGGAGAGTGTTGCCATGAAAATACTCGATCGTTCCACCATCATCAAGCACAAGATGGTCGACCAGGTTTTTCTCTATTTCCCATGATCCCTTTTGGCTCAAATTTAGACAATTCAGTTTTTTTTTTAAATGATTTTGCTGCTTGTATTGTAGCTAATTAGCTACTCTCTAGACAGACTGAAAATGGATCCAGCAAGTACTTGTTTTTATTTGGTTATAATCTAGTTCCGTTCTGCTCTTAATTGAATTTGAATCAAATTCTTGAAAATTAAACCTTAAGAATAGAGTTTTGTTGGTGTAAATTATGTTATGACATGACAATTGAGGTAGAGGCATGGTTCGAGGTAATGGTCTAGTATGCTAATTAAGCTCATTGAAAGATGACTGTGCTGAAACTTATTTTGTGAAATTTCCAATGATACTTGAATAGCCATAACGTAGCTAGTAATCTGTGGTTAGTCAACCTTACTTGTCTTGAATTTGAATTTGAATGTTGCTTAATCGGTTGAACTCGGTTGCCAGCAAATCCCATGAAGCGGTTGTTCAGTTGTTGATTTTTTTGACAACTTGATGTTGCATCATTCTAATGATTAATAGCTAAAATTTGGTAATTTTTAATCTACAGTTACCATCCCACTTTTTCACGACTTGAAAGTTGTAGCACCTTTGATGTTTTAGATATATGTGCTTTTTAATTTCTTACATGAAGAGCTCAATGATACTTTTCAAATGGGATTCTCCTCATTAGACGCTAGGCAGTATGTTTTTGTGTATTTTTGTTCATTTTCTTCTGCTGCTCTCGCAACAGCTTACATGTTTTCATGTCCGAGCCTAAGCTTTTCAGAATTTCCATAATTAAATCTCAATGACAGGTCTTGTCATTTTCTTCATGCAGATTAAGAGGGAGATATCTATAATGAAGCTTGTCAGGCATCCATATGTTGTCCGTCTACACGAGGCATGCTTTCAAAATGAAAACTTTATTCCATTCCTTTTCAAATGGAATTGTTATTATTATCTCAGAATTCTATGCAGTTTGCTAGTCTTGCTAATCTTAGTCATCCCATGTTAGGTGATAGCAAGCCGCACCAAGATCTACATCATCTTGGAATTTATTACTGGTGGTGAATTGTTTGACAAAATTGTAGGTCCTTTACCAAATATTGTTTCTTAAAATGGATTTTCTAATATGCTCCCAGCAAAACTTCTAGCATGCTTAGAGGGTCACAATGTTTCGGCATCCATATGTAGGTTCACCATGGAAGGCTAAGTGAAGCTGAATCTCGTAGATACTTCCAGCAGCTTATAGATGGTGTGGACTATTGTCATAGTAGAGGAGTCTACCATAGGGACCTAAAGGTTCTCATTTACTGACCCAGTGACACTTGACTGAATCTGATTTTTATACCTTTTATTGGAATCCTCATGATGCATGCTATGCTTCGCAGCCTGAAAATCTTCTACTAGATTCACAAGGGAATTTGAAGATCTCAGATTTTGGACTTAGTGCGCTACCAGGACAAGTAAGACATCAGAAGTTGATATTTCCTTGCCCAAGTTGTTGAACACAATAGCATTGGGACACTAATAGTAGTTTTTATGCTCAGGGAGTCAACCTGCTCAAGACAACGTGTGGAACTCCAAACTATGTGGCACCAGAGGTATTTCTTTGAACTGGTTCTTGGACTAACTGTAGCTTGTAATTTTATAAAGGGGATTAGATTGTTTACTTCTCCCAGTTTTATTTTATTAAACATTTCCCAGTTGCACGTGATATATGTACCCTCTCTAGGTTTTGAGTCACAAGGGCTATGATGGTGCTGTAGCAGATGTCTGGTCCTGTGGTGTCATCCTTTATGTCCTGATGGCGGGTTATCTTCCATTTGACGAGATTGATCTTACTACACTATATGGCAAGGTATTGTGTTTTCAGCATATCTGCACTATCATGAAAGTTATCAGATACTTGGGTTGCTTTGCTTGACTTTTGGATCTAATCTCCATTGAAGCTTGTTTCTAGTAGTTTTGGTGTCAAGAGATTTGCCACATGTCAAGGAAGCAGTTGGCCATTACATTCATTTATAAAGGATATAAACTATTATGTCATACTGGTATGTATGTTTTGCAGATTGAAAGAGCAGAATTTTTATGCCCATCTTGGTTTCCAGTTGGAGCAAGATCCTTGATTTCTCGAACTTTGGACCCCAATCCTGACACGGTAAGTAAGTCTAACTAGTTTGAGATTCTGAAACCGTAGTTGTTATGCTCTTGTCTTCTTCCAATCGACAATTAGTTGCCTATTTCAGGTTTTCTTCAGTTCTAGGGGCTAGCTTGAGAAATTCATGTATTGAAATTTGCTTTCTTGGAAATTTCTGAGCCAACAAAATACAAGATTTATTGGAGGAGAGCAGGAAGTATCTCGCTTTAACTGATATTTTTAGTAGCATACCAAAGAAAAAGCAATAGATTGGAGTAATCTCGTTACAGAATTTATTAGAGTACTTGCACCTTATTTGTAAAATTTGGTATGATTTGAATGTTGTAAGAACTGAAAACATAATGCACAACCTTGTAACTCAAAAGGTTCTGAGTTTGTAAGGTGCTTCCATTGGTCAGCAGTTTACGCATTTGAATATCTAGGGTAGAGTTTTTCAGAGAAGAGCTTTGTTGGGGACCATTACTTAGTGCACTCACTTTGTGTTACAATGTCTCTTCGTTTATGCAGCGTATCCGAATTGAAGAAATCAGAAATGATGAGTGGTTTAAGAAGGGCTATGTTCCTGTGAAACTTGCTGAAAGTGAGGATGTCAATCTGGATGATGTTAATGCTGTTTTTAATGATGCTGAGGTTGGTGAGAGTAAATTTGCAGCAGCATTTTGCATCATCGTTAGTTCTAGTGATATATTAAGATATGACTGCAATCTATATTTCTTTTTTCTGGGCTTTGGTCCTGTAGTCAGGAATAGGTTGTGATACTTCCACCTGTAGCTGTGGTGATGGAGCATTAGAGGCTATTTGCAGACTTATACTTATAACTGACAAATATCTGTATCCTTGCCTGATGAATCTCTTTGTTTCTTTAAGTTCTTAAGTATATGTATCTCATTGTTCGCTCTTCTTTTCATCACAATAGTTCTTTCATAATCAGCTTTGCAGGTCATAAAGCTTGTAAAATAGTATTCCTTATGTGATTGGGTTCTTAGTATATTGCATGACAGCTTGTTCTTTGTTGGGAAATGCATTAACAACTGCATGAATAGCTACTAAAATGAAAGATGTAATACGCACCTGCATGATGCACATTTTGTTCTTTAACCCCATTACTGCAAGGTCCAATCTGTTTCTTAACCAGCTGTTATGATCTGTGAGGGTGGCTTTCATAACTTAATTCATGATGAAACAAGTTAAAGTTTGTTGAGTAGGTATGCTGTTTTACTATATTAGGAGCGAAATTTTCTGCGCTAACCACAGAATGTTCCCATTTTAAATGACTAGTTTTTATGCTGAGTTTTAATTTCTTCATTCATGGGTCGGAAGTTGGCTCTTTATTCCTCACATTTTCTCCATGTTATTGTGTTGCAGGAAGAACAAACTAATGAGCAATGTGGGAATGAGGATGTAGGGCCTTTGGTTCTTAATGCATTTGATCTAATCATTCTCTCCCAAGGATTAAACCTTTCTGCCTTGTTTGATCGTAAGCAGGTACAAGCACCAAATTATCACCTCAATTTGAATGAATTTTAATTCAAGTATTCATGTTACTTCTTGCTTAATGTTGTAGTTCATAATGCAGTCCCCCTCCCTGTCCTAGTTAATTTTACTTCATCATATCTGATCCAACATTTTCATTGAACCCTGTGGATATACAGGATTTGGTGAAACATCAAACGCGCTTTGTTTCACAAAAACCTGCAAAGGTTGTTTTATCGAGTATGGAAGTTGTTGCTCAATCAATGGGTTTTAAAACCCATATTCGTAATTATAAGGTAGGATACTAGATATGTTACCTACCTTTTTGCAAATCTAGAAACCAGCCTTGTGGCATATTATTTCTTATCCTAGAAACTTTTGTAAAGTTGATCTCTATCTAAACCTGTTAAGTGGTGGAATACATGTTTTGAAATTTTAATTAAAAAATTTCTCAGATGAGGGTGGAAGGCCTTTCTGCAGACAAGGTTTCACATTTCTCAGTATTTTTGGAGGTAAGGATGCAGCCTTCTTACTGTCCTTAACTCTTGACAGACAGTTTTAGTTATGCAATCATTTCCTGAACAGATCTTTGAGGTTGCTCCAACATTTATTATGGTAGACATTCAGAAAGCTGCTGGAGATGCTAGTGAATATCTCAAGGTCAGATACTGGAAATTATTCTACATTATTGCTGTAATTGAGCTTATCGGTATTTGTTATGCTCACTGTTGATCTCTTCATCTTTACTGTTGGAGTTGAGGAAACTAGTAAAAGGGCTATAATACTTACTCGGGTGCTGTCTTTTTGCATTCGCATAAGAGAGAGAAGGTGGTGGTAATGCATGGTTGCTGGAAATTATGAAGTGTTCCAAACTTGTTACAGCACTAGATAGATATTATTGCCTGCTAAACGAATCTCGAGTCTTTGATTGTTGAACTGAGATTTAGTTGTTTTCTGGTAGTAGAGCTGAGAAATAGAATTGAAAAGATAATTTATTTCTTGGATATTTGTTTTGGAACTTGCTACTATAATGTAGTGATTATAAAGAATTTACTCTGCAGTTTTACAAAAACTTCTGTAGCAACTTGGAAGATATCATCTGGAAACCACCTACGGACTTGTGCAAATCAAGGATCTCCCTGGCAAGGAGTAAAAGGCGATGATCTATACTAGTATCCCGAAAGCAATCAAGTCTGTAGGATAGAAATGTTGATGCAATATGGGTCGTATGCATATAATTTACAATACCATGCTTTCCTCTGCCTCCTACCATGCTTTGAGTGATATGGTACTGTCAGTCTGTATTCCCCAGTTTTGTATTAGTTGTGCAAATTAATATGAAGCCCTCATTGATGAAGTCCCCTTAAGTTGGATTGCCTGGGAGACAATATGCTAGTTATACTTACCAATCTTTAACACCCCTCTAGTTGTACTATCACATATAGAGTAGAAGTTGTAACACTTGTACTTCTTGCTCCCTTTTTTAAGAAGTACCATCTGTACTTCTTGCTCCTTTATTTAAGAAGATTGGTCTTTGTTGTAAAATTTTTCACTTTTGATAGTGTAAAAGTTGTACCACTTCATCACCTTTGACGAAGATTAATCTTGTTGCAAAGTGTTATGGTTAGCGACAACTTGTAGATAGCAGGAGGCACATTGTGAATTTTGATGCTGCATTGCTTGGAGGCAGGCTGAAGCGTCTTCCATTATGTGTTGGCAAGTGCAGAAACCTTCCAACAAGAAGAAGTTCGTTGCAGTTCATTGCAATGAACTGCAGTTCATTGCAATGAACTGCAGTTCATTCTCTTGTGTGCGTATTGCAATCGCCAAATTTACTAATCAACAATTTTAACTTTGTTTTTAAGCTCCAATGACAATGGTGACAATTATCAAAAAAAGATTCAAGATCCAAACAAATTTCAAGTCTAACGATCAAATTTGAAATAAATTCAGATCTAACAATAAAATAAGAAAAATATTTGTAGGATAAAAAATTTCTCACTAAAAACTCTTGAGAAAAACATAAAACTCTCAATAAAAAAAAAAAATTTAGGAGAGACTTTATTAGAAAAATAAAGCAAAACAAAATTTATGAGAGGAAGACTTTAATGTGATCTTCCTTCCTTCCTAAATGAAAGGTCTTTAAAAAGAGGAGAAGAAATGGAGAAAAGAAACCTCTCTTAGGGTCTGTTTGTTTTAATGTAGAATATTTTCCCTAAGAAAACATTTTCAATGAAAATTCTTTCCTGGAAAATATCTAATTTTCCCTTCATTTTCCGGTGTTTGGTGCAATTTTAAGAAAATGTTCTGAAAAAATTAAAATCCTCCAACGATAATATCGTTCCCGGATTTCTCTTTTGCTAATTGCTACTACTAATTATCATTATCTCTACCCACCTCATTAGCCACAACAAACAATCCCCAATCCAAATCCTTTCAAGTCTCAAAAAATAAATCAAAGACCAGAACCAGGAATTCACAATCTCCCCAAGCCAGTTGAGTGCCATTGTAATAAAAAGTTTAAATTATATGCCTACAGCTGATTGAACCATTATAAGAAATTAGCAATTGAAATTTGATGTTTATTGTACTAACTCTTCTTCTAAAAATGTTCCTCCTGCCTCCATTGGCTTCACATTTTTTCCTTTCTTCAAAACTTCTCAATGCAAGCCCAATTTAGATCTAGAGTTGTATAATCCATAAATGTGTTTGTATGGCGCAAGAGAACGGGAACAGTAGAGAGGAATATGAGAAAGAGGAGAGCTCGAAGAGGCGCAAAGTTGTGGGATTTGCAGAAGTAAGTGCAGGAACATAATGGAGTGTTTGGACAGTGTATTATTTGAAATATTATTTGGAATAATTACTGTAGCACTTTTTGTGATGTGATGTATGTGAGATAAAAAGGTGGTTGGAAATATAAAAAGGTGGGTTGGAAAATGTATCTATGATGCAAGCGAAATATTATTTGGGATAATTGAGGTATCCAAACAAACCAATAGCTCTTGATTTGATCTCTGTGGTATAGTGCTTGATGGCTTTGTACAATAGCCAAGTGCTGAGGAAACTGATAAGTCGCGATAGTTGTCGGAAATTAACTTCCGTATCTTAATTCCGGAAGTCATTTTACACCAAGTTATGTAAAAGATTTTTTACCAGAAAAAATTTTCCTGACCTCTTTTGCAGCCAAACACCAGAAATTGAAGAAAATATTTTCTGGAAAAGATTTTCAGTCAAAACAAACAGACCCTTAAATTGGGATTTGTAATTTTTTTTCTTAATTTCTTGTATATTCAACGCGGGTAAAATAAATGAAATGGGTTAAGGCATTATCTTGATAGCTTTAAATTTTTAAAAAATTTAATTATGAAAAGTGATTATAGAAAAAAATTAAAATCAATGAAAGCCACTCTTAAATTGATTATGAATTTTAACTTTTTAAATTTTTGAAAGAGAAATCTATAATAAGTTAAAATAATCGAGACAACAAGTCATAAAGAAGACACGACGCGAAACGAAACCATTCCACCAGAGATCCGACCCAAAAAAATATCCGCTCCATTGGATCCGACTCCTTAAACCTTCTCTGAATTGTCACACTCCTTAGAGGCTTAGACAGAGCAAAGGCGAGGAAGAAGAAGATGGTGAAAGCTGTCGTCGGAGAAGAATCACGGCTAAAGTTAATCGAAGATCGGCTCAGCCAAGCCGCTGTTCCCTCTCAGGTAGGTCTTGTAATCGGGAAATTGAGCAAGAGCTTAGACAAAGGCTTCGTTTTCGATTTAATTCCGACTCCCCTGAACGACGCTGGTGAACCAGCTTCTTCACTAATTGAGAGCGGTAAAGATGATGGAAATAAGAAGAAAGGTTCCAAAAGCAAGCCTCAATCCGACTCCTCGGCTTTGGTTATCGACAGAGATTGGGTTTCCGAACACGCTCGTCAGGTTAACACATTTCCACAAGTTATACTTTTTTTTTTTAATAATTTGCTGTAATTTGAATTATCAAATTATGTGTTTGAATTTAGAATATGACTACGAGAATTGCATATTTTTGTGCTAAGAGAAGATGAAAGTATGTGAGTATTTTACATGTTGCACTGGATGATGTATAATGTATGTGTATGTATTACTGCAAAAACGTGACGTAAATAAAGATTATTTTGATCATTATGAAATGAATAGCAGTCCATAGAAATTAATTTTAAATTTTGATTGTATCTTATTTTAAATGGTTCTAATTTCATGGAAATTATTATCTGGACTTTTATGTTCCCTGTGGGGATTAGATGTATTCCAGTATTCATCCTATTTCAACTTTGAGCCTATTGATTGAGTTTTACGAGTTGTATTAATAACCTGCTCGAGGTTCTTATCTATCTCCAGAGAGTTAAAGATACGTTTAGGCTGGATATCATCAAAGTTGGGCTCTTTGACCTTGCGTTCATGTCCAGTTTTGATTTTCTTAAGTTTGGACTTTGGGTGCCTGCTTGACTTTCAGCCTAGGACTCTGTGAAAATCTATTCTTGGCAAGTTAGATATATGGTTCAAAGAATTGCTCAAGTACTAATGAAGGTTTCGTTTTCAGGTCTCGAGAATGCTGCTTGGTGGGATGAAGGTTATTGGTGTCTATATATGGGTCAATGAAAGCTCCTTCAAGAATTCAACAATTACACTTTGTCAGGTCTTGTTCATTCCGCAACTGGAGTTTTGCATGTTTAAATACAAACTTGAATTTGTGATTGAGAGAGAGATGACTGTTTAATTTTATGGATGTGAAAGAATAGGTGGATTTGACTATTATGATGGTATTCTCAATCCTGGTCTGGATATAGACCAGAGTCAAGACAGCCAGATTTGAGTATTACACTGCCATCTCTCTCTCTCTCTCTCTCACACGCGTGCGCGCGAACACGTGTTCACACAAGTACACACATTTTGTTGAGTGAAATACAACCTATGACATCATATGGGTCAATGAAAGCTCCTTCAAGAATTCAACAATTACACTTTGTCAGGTCTTGTTCATTCCGCAACTGGAGTTTTGCATGTTTAAATACAAACTTGAATTTGTGATTGAGAGAGAGATGACTGTTTAATTTTATGGATGTGAAAGAATAGGTGGATTTGACTATTATGATGGTATTCTCAATCCTGGTCTGGATATAGACCAGAGTCAAGACAGCCAGATTTGAGTATTACACTGCCATCTCTCTCTCTCTCTCTCTCACACGCGTGCGCGCGAACACGTGTTCACACAAGTACACACATTTTGTTGAGTGAAATACAACCTATGACATCATTGGTAGCAATATCTGGAACAATTTCTAAGTCACATTGGGCATGTTTCATGCTCTTGAATGTGTTTGGCCACTTAACGACCTTAGTGTTTCTGAATATTTGACCTGGTCCATATGCTACTGCTAATATTATGCTCTTTCAGACTGTAAAAGGAGTCTCTGATGCAGTGCCCTTTATGGACACTGATATGGATGAGAGACTGCTCATCCACATTAGTTACAGTCCCAGAAGGTAACTTCAGGAAAAAATTTGCCCCCTCATACAAGTTTAATGTCTTTCAGTTCATTGATACCCTGCCTGAAAATTTTGTATCAGATGGACCTGTCGAAATTGTTCGCTGGCTTCTAACATTACATCAAGTAGTTTACGGCCTTGTGATTTCAAAATGGGAAAAGTTTTGTCTTCCTTGAAAGAATTTAGGTGCACATATAACTTTGATATGAGGTAATTGTAATCTGATTTTAGTTTTTCATATTCTAAGCCTAATGTGATTGGTGAAAGTATCTAGCATTCCATTCCTACCCACAAAAAACATTTCTAGGAGACAGAGCACTATTCCCATTTTTCTCTCTCTCTTTTTTTTTTGGGCTCCTTGACATTTTCCAATCACACTTAGTGAAGTATTGTTGTGGCTACTTGGGTATGTTTTTAAGTGGTTGAGTTATATTTTTCACAGGTTACCAGTTTTCTCTGAAAATGGATCAAGTATCAGAAAAATGAGTGAAGTTCTTCGTCGTGGACTTTCAACGCATGCCAAAGAGCTTAAAGGCGCAAAGTGTTTGATTAATGGAAGACTGGTAAGGAACCGTTAAATTGCGGAACTGTTGCACTGTATGTATTGTTTCTGCGCCTGGTATGGAAACAGTGAATTATTATCAATCATGGAGTAGCGTGGTTCTGTGAAACTCTAACTTGAAATGCAAGGTCTGTGTCCACCATGCATGTAATTTGGGTCATAAACTTTTTAAGTGATACGCACTTTTTGGAGCCTTTAAAATATTGTTTGTCTGCTGGCCATATATACTGCTAGTAACTAATGTCTAATGTCATCTATTAACTATGAAGATGATGGGGTAGAATGCTGCTAATATTGATATTACTAATGATAATGTACTGTTGGTGCTGATCCAGTGACATAATACAAAGAAGAAAGCAAATAAATTAACAAAATGAGACATTTCTGGCACAAATATACCCTTTAGATTTCTATAACATGTATTATTCATGGTAAAAGGTATTTTCTAGTAGGAAATTAGGAAAATATGTTAGGCAAGTTGTAAAGCTGCAGAAGTCATGCTTAGATTGACTTCTGAACTATTATTGCC